AGTACGAGAGAGAGAGGATAGAGCAACCGAGAGGAGAAAGCAGAGAGAGACACACAGAAGCGAGATACCGGCTTCCAAGAGCACAACGAATGAGAGATAGGCGAAGAGAGAGAGAGGGCGACAGAGAGAGGGGCTTCCAGGGGAAAAAAAACATCGAGAAAACGAGAAGGGAGAGAGAGCAACACATATACAGACCTGCTTCCAAGAACATGAGATATATAGATAACATCAGAGGAGAGAAGAGAGAGGCTATGGGAGAGAGACAGACAGAGAGGGAGAGAGAGAATAAAGCAACCGAGAGGAGAGAGCGGAGAGAGAGACACACACAGAAGCGAGATTCCGGCTTCCAAGAACACAAATAATGAGAGATCGACAAAGAGAGCAGAGGGCGACAGGGAGAGAGAGGGCTTCCAGGAAAAAAAACATCGAGACAACGAGAGAGGGGGGAGAGAGAGAGAGCAGCACACACACACACATACAGACCTGCTTCCAAGAACATGACAGATATAGAGATATAATCAAAGGAGAGAGAGAGAGGAGTGGGGATGGGAGAGAGACAGAGAGAGAGAGCGGTTTGCAGGAACAAGAGATGTAGAAAATAGAGAGCATCAGGGAGAGACAGCGAGAGAGAGAGAGAGGCTAGCACACCGGCAGGCAGACCCCTTAATGCTCAAGCCGTCTCGGGTGTAGAGACATTAGGCTAACGACGATTGATAAGACTTCCGCGGAAAATTACGAACAGAACGCGCCGCCAATTTATAATAGTAATAGAATCCCCATCGCAAACATGCCAGGCACAATCACCACACCTACTCACACCCCCCCAGCCCACGCCGCTAGCATTCTAAGAGAGAGAGAGCGGGGAGGAGAAGGAGGAGGGGGAGCGAGCCGGAGCAGATGGGAATGGAGCCGAGAGCTGTGCGCAACGCGGATGGAGGGGATGGGATCGCGGTGCGGAAGGGAGGGGTTGGAGGGAGGGTGACGGAGGAAAGAAAGGGGGTTGAAGGGGGGGATTGGGGTGATGTGAGGCCCAAAGGGAGGTGGTGGTGATGGTGATGGTGCCGGTGGTGGGGGTCTCCAGTACCGCTTTGGTGCATGGTAAATGGCGCGGACGGCACGGCTAATCAATGGAGCTTGAAACGGCAGCGCCAGAAACGAAAACCCCCTCCTTTAGTTGCACCTTTGCACCTAATCGGTTAAAGCATGTGATTAAGGGGCAGTCTTTGATGTGGTGGAGGGAGGTTGCTGGCGGGGAGGGGGCGGAGACGCGCGGTGCTCTATGGAGGAGGGGGAGTGGGAGGTAGGAGGGGTGAGGGTGGCTGGCTGGGAGAAATCGTGGTGGTGGTGGTGGTGGAGGGGATGATGGGGGAGAGGAGGAGAGAGACTGTGGGTGGAGACGAGACGAGAGAGAGAATGGAAACTCCACCACCACCACCCCCCATGCCTTTCGCCGAGTCCGTCGCGAGCACCCACCCTCGCTGCGGTGACGTCACACAGAGAGATTGGGGGTGGCTTTGTGAGCAGCAGCAGCAGGAGGAGGAGGAGGCCGAGGGAGGAGAGAGAAGGAGGAGGAGGGGAGCTGAGCAGTAACAGCAGCAGCAGCGGGAGGAGGAGGATGAAGAAAGAAGAGGCGGGTGGGTGGCGGTGACGGTGGGGGGAAGGAGGAGGAGAGGGGGGGAGACATGTTTGTGTGTGTGTGTCCAGAACAACGAGACATTTACTCCGGGGCCGTGAGAGCCCGCGGGCACTCCCATCGAGGCGCTCGCCCGCCTTGCAGCAGGAGCAGCAGCAGCAGGAGCAGCAGGAGCATCAGCAGCAGGAGCAGCAGGAGCAGCAGGAGCAGCGACATCGCTGGCTTGCGGTCGGAGTTGGACGGACGGACGCGGGATGGTGTGCCGCACCAAGCCGCCTCGCTCGTGCTCGCAAGCCCGTGTCGCGTTGGATTAGAGAAGCCCGCTGGTTTGTGTTGCTCGGGGTGGGGGGAGCAGAAGGAGGCGGACGCGCGCCGTCTCGATCCGCTTTCGTTTTCAACTCGGCTCGCTTCTTCGCCATTTGCCGGGAGCAGGAGCAGCAGCAACAACAACCACCACCGCCGTGACCACCACCGCGGCCAAAACGAGCCCCTGTCAACCATTAATATGGAAATGTGAACTAATCGCCTGAAATGCATCCCTCTCGGCTCTTTTGTTTCGGCGCGAAGAGGGGACGTGGAGAAGGGCGGACGCGAGGTGAGGAGCAAGCGGGCGAGATACGCAAGCAAGGAAGGACGGGGAAAACATGGGGAACGAATGACGGAGAGAAGAGAAAACGGAAGCCGACGCGAGGAGCGGTCACTGTGCGTTGTTGTTGTGGGAATGCCTCCTCTGTTGCCTCCTTTAGGTCCGCTAAATGTGTGCGTAAATCCTCCTCATCCGTCATCTCTTTGTGTGTGCGTGTCGGGGGTTGGTGTCCTTGTTAGCGCGGCGCATGCATGCGTGGAGTGAAAGGTGGTGGTGGTGATGATGATGGTGGTGGTGCAGTGGTTTAAGTGACACCCTCCCAAGATGTACAATGTCGGAGTGAGGAAGGGGGGGGGGGTGAGCAAATTATTGCGGTGAACTAATCTATGCGGTCGTTATTTATTTACCGGGTTTTTTTGCATTCGTGACAAATCTCAGACATTCTATATGGGCAGCCAAACGTTAAAAAGCGGGGAGGGTGGAGTGGGCGTAGCGGGGACCCCCCCCTGCTCCTCTCCCCGAATGCGCCTCTAGCGGTGGTTGTGGTGGTGAGGAAGACGGCAGTGAAGCAGTAGGGAGGTGAGCGATTGGGTGAGGAGGGGGAGGGGCGGGGGGAGGTGAGAAGGGGGGAGGGGCGGGGGGGGAGGGGCGGGGGTGAGGAGGGGGAAGGGGCGGGGGGAGGTGAGGTGGTGGCAGGAGCGTCGCGACGCTGTTGTTGGTTGTGGTGGCGGCGGCGGGTGACGGTGGTGGGGTGAGTTTTGAGTGCGCGAGTGTTGTGGGGGGGAGAAGGGAGGGATGGGACGGGGGGGGGGGTAAAGTGGATTTGGGATGTGGAGGGGAAGGAGCGGTGGGACTGTGCTAGTCGGATCTAAAAGCCCCGCAAATCTTTCCCCTCCCTACCCCCACCGTTGATGCGGTCAATTGCGAATCCGCGCGCGTCGATGCTGCTGCAGTAGCAGCAGCAGCGCATGGACGCGCGCAGTCGTTTCGTGATTCGCCGGACCTCGCCCGCCCCCCCCCCCTGAATCGTCCCCCACCACGCCGCCCCCCATCCCGCGTGTGCCCCAACACAGACAAGGGGCGGCTGCTGCTGCTGCTGCTACCCGGGGTAGCTCACGGCCGTCCGCGCACAGAGGAATGAACGCAGCGATGTGACCGCCTGGCAAGGGGAAGGAAGAGCAAGAGACCGCTTGGGGGGTGGGTGGGAGAAAGGGGCTGTTGTGTATATATCTCTCTTTACGCAGATGGAGTTGTCGTCTTGTGGACAGTTGAGTGGTGTTTTTACAAGACAATGGCGGGAGGGGGGCGATGTCGCAGTGGCTTTGGGCGCGTTAGCAAAATGTGTGGAGTCTCAGGAGCTCGGTTCCAGTACACGGCGAGCATCGCGTGGCGAGTGGCCGAGCTGGTTCTGGGCAGTCTCCTGTGTCGACTCGGTCTCGTGTTAGACATCCGCAGCGGGAAGACAAAAGGCAGGTCCAGGGTTCGTGGGTTGATTTTTTGACTTTGCCACCACCATCATCATCATCATCACCACCACCGCCGCCGCTTTTCGTGCGTAGAGTGCAGGCCTCAATGGGTGCTCGCAAAGGAGCCGTGCTCCCCGCGTCCTGTTCGAGCCTATCGCGTGTGCTGGATGGGAAGGAGGCGTGGAGAGAGAGGGGTGGAGACGATTGTCTTCGTGCCGAGTGAGCGTGACTGGGTTTTAGATGGGACCCGGGGTGGGTGGGTGGATGAGTGGTGGTGGGGGCGGTGGTTGCGCGCGCAGTCTCTCATTTCGCTCGCTCGCCGATGTTTGGGAGACCGCGGGGGGAGGAGGAGCGGGAGAGGAGACGCCGGGAGAGGGAGAAGCGAGGTGGGTGGGGGGTGGAAGAGACGCTGGGAGCGATGCCCACGACCCTCGCCGCCATCACTGCTGAATGCGCTCTTGGTTGATGCAGCCGTGCGTGCTGTTTCGCACTTTGCAAGCGAATCCGAAAAGAAGAAGAAAACCCACCCGGCCCATCTCTTCTCATTCTCACAGTCCTCGCTGTCGTCTCTCTTGAGCTCGATCTGTTTCAACTCTGCCGGCCACACGAGACTCGCTGCGAGCGCTGCGCCGTGGCGAGTTGCGGCACGGATGATGGCGCGCTCCGAGGCTGTTGTTTGGAAGCGATGGAGGCGCGCGGGGCCCTTTGTTCTCGCCCGCCGCGTTTGTCCTGGGGGGAAGGTGAAGTATGGGGAGCTGTAGGGCTGCGTAGACACTGCAGGGACGCGCGCGTGTGTGTGTGTTTCTGTCAATTCGTCTGTCTTTGTGTCTATAGGAATAGTTATTGTTGTAAACACCTAAACATTTGTTAGAAAAAAAAAGCAATCGTATAATCGGCGGCGTTTTGGGGCGGTGCCTCTTCGTCATAGCACATGAAGAAGGCCCATTGGCCGAAACGTCGCCTCGTACATAGTTTTCCTTCGAAAACAACGGTGTTAATGGTGCATGCGATGCTGTTATTGTTCGTACAGCACTGCAAACGCAGCGACATCACGCAACGTGTCCGCGTGGGTGTGCTCGCCTGTCGGCCAGAGCGTCCCTTTGTCTCGCTGCCTGTCCGTCAATGTCTGTTCTGTCTGTCTATCCAGTCCCCTGTCTGTCTAGTCGTCTGTCTGTAGTTCTGTGTGAAATCACGAGCACCATCGCGCATCAACCCGTCTCTCAACGTCGCACTGCAATCGTGGATGAGATCTCAGAATCAGAATCTTGTTTATTTTTTTTAAATCCGATGAGCTGTCAGGCTTCTTTCGCTGATGTCCGGTAGATCCGAAACCACACGGAGTTCCCTCGATACCCATTCCGTTCACAGGACGTAATGACTTCGTGCGACACGCACCTTTTGACGAGGTAAGATTGTATTTTATAATTACTGTTATCGAGCATTCTTCAGCTGTTTTCATTAACAATAATATCGCCATTACCATAATCTCAATAGCGCTGTTATGATCGCATCATTGACTCATCACGACGACCCGTACCGGTAACGTTTTTATAATTAATCATATCAGTAACAGCATCATCATCGCCACTACAAAGACAAAGATCACCCGTATTGCCTTGGCAGACTTTTGGGGCAATACAACAGCAATAAGTAATTAAAATCGCAATCTGCTCGGAGTTCATCATGACATTAGTACCGCCACCGCCGTGAACATCACAATCCTCGCTCATGGTTATGGATACAAAACGCTGATGATTTATAATCCGTGCTAATTTTATGTGCATGTACTTCCATCCATCGTTAGCAATGTAGCAATTTCACTAAATATACATACAGCATGTTTACAAACGCTGGTTATTCTCTACATTGTAAATGTAATTTGCAGTTACATATATAACTAGATGCACTTATCGTAATGCACATGTCTACGTGTATATATATATATAACTATATGCTCGTATAAGTATATATATATAGTTATATAGCATACATCTGCATATATTCTGACCAGCAATTAAGCTGTCATTGATTCCATTTGGCTAATTACAGGGTCCGGTTGAGTGCTGGTTACGCATCGAATGCAGACCCCCATTGAATTAGCGCGGTCCGCTCGTTTTGTAAATACATTGAACCGACAGCATTTTGAAACGCTTAGACGACGACGACGAAAAACAAAACAACGCCAACGAGACGAGGAAGCTGACGATGTGTCCACACGAAGAAGCATCGATCCACTCGGGCTGCAGCGACTTTGTTGAGAAGCTTTGAATGGAAAGCGATCGTTGGAGCATCAGCAAGATCGCGACAGCGAAGTCGGCTGCTGTCAACAACCACGACGTCCCTTGCGCTGGACAACACAAATGCATCGTTGATAATTCGCGACGTTTCGGGGAACGGTCCTCCTATAGCTCTGCCTTCGTAAATGCAACTTCGTTCTGTGGGGGAGGGGGGGGGGTGAAGAGCGGTGTGGATGTCGCGTACAGGTAAGTGTGTGGCTATGATGGTGATCCAAACCGTGAATTGTTAGGGTCGCGGCTACGATTATTTTATATTTATAGAAAACCGGTGTGCAGTGGTAATTATGATGACGTTGTAATGATACATTTGCTTAATGTTTTTTTTGTAAATTATACTGAGGTGAAGCTAATGGAAGGTCACTGATGCGTGCTATTGATATTTTGCTGGTGTGGTTCTGGTGAATTGTGATAGTTTTTTTGTATTATTGGTGTGTAGCGATGGTGTTAATGATACCGTGTTACTCTGACAGTGATAATAATGATGCTTGTGAATGATGATGATGAGGGATTTGTATGACTGGTGTGTGTAGTCTTGGTGGTGTTGAGATACTTCTGGTGTGGTGAAGCTGGTGAATTTTGGTAAAGTTGAAAATTATTTGTGTGGATGTATGATCACAATATATTGCTGCTGTGGTGAAGATGCTCGTGTATTGATGCTTTTAACTACGCACTACTGGGCGGGCAGTGATGTTAAGATTATTACAATGGCACAGTGACGAGTGGTAATGTTTGCGTAGTTGGTGGTGCTGATGATGACAATGGTAAAGTACGATGATAGTGTTACAATGATGTTACTCGTTCCCTTGCCACACCACGAATATCAGTATGCTGACAACGCGAATGGTGACTTGCCATAATGTTTCTGATTATACATCTTCTGTTACGAATCTGTTGATGGTGGTGGTGGTGATATTAATACGATGCTGTTGATTATTCTTATTATTGAAGATTACGATGTAAATATATTCAACATTTGATTGTAAATATAGCGAGTGTATGCATTGGTGATGATCTCGCTAGTAATGACGGAATATTATTATTGTTAATCCGATTAACGTTATATGGGAGCAGTGGCATCGTGACGATTCTGGTCTGGGGTGATTTAGGGTCCTTATAATCGTTACCGGTAACCGGATGAAAAAACCGGTTACCGTAAACGTAAATTCGAACTCTGTTCATCTGAGAAAGGAAAGTTCAGGAGCTGCCGCAGGGGTCAAAACGGTTTGCGGCAGCCCCCCCACTGGACTTCATAACCCAGGGGTTGCGGGCTCGATTCGATCTCCGGGCGCGGCAGTTAAAACGAACTGGACAGGTCTAAAAGCAGCAGGGGTCGCGGTGCGGTGGGGTGAAGTGTGGGTACGCCCAGCGCCTCTTCCAATTCGTTTGTTCGGTGCGGAAGAGTAGGCCAAGTAATATCCACTCTTGAGCCTCCCTGACAATTGGAGGCACCTTTCGGCCAGCAGCTGCCCCCCCCCCCCCGCGACCTTTGTGACATGAGAGCGAAAATTGTAAAACCCGGCCCGGTGCGGACTTGGGCCCCCGTGCCGTTTGTCCGTCCGCGCGTGCAAATGAGCCCGCTTCTATAAATTGTCGCTGCGAACGGTTACCCATTCTCCCTCTAACATTTTCGTCGAAAGCGGTTATCGGTTCCGGAGCCGCCCAGTGGTTCGGTGGTCCATCGACGGGTGCCTCGCGATTGCAAAATCTGTCGGCATTCACGAGTGGTAGCTTGTGCGCGTACTCTCCTGTAAAATTCGATTGCGCCGCAATTGGATAGCTCTTTTCGCCAACGATCAGTTTGTTCTTATTGACAATTTGCCAGCAAAGACGCCCCGTGCCCCCGTAGGTACCGTGTGTAGAAGCGATGTGTTTTTTGTTTCTTCTCGAAATCCTTGTTTCTGCAATTGTCAGTTTTTGCACATTGCCACCGCCAGCCCACCCCTTGCAATGTTCTGTAACCGTCGATTGTTGTCAATGTGCGGCGGTTTGGTGCCTTGTTACCAGCCGGAAAATAAAGTCTCGAGTCTCTGCCGCGTGACCCCTGGGTCTCTGTGTGACTGCCACGTCCCGTGACTGCCGCCACTGCCGATTGTATGGGGGGGGGGGGGGGGGGGGGCGTCGTGCTTTTAACGCCGCAGCAGCTAAGCTCAGTGGGTCCCTCGCCTGCTGGGATAATAAAGTCCGACCGAGTCTGAATTGTCGTGTGCTACTATCTAATGCATATATACATGCACGCGTGTGTATATGTGTATAGGGAGCGGTAGTGTAGCCGTTAGCGCGCTGCGTTACAAACCCGCCGTGCCGAGTTCAGTTTCCGCTCCTAGGACACCAACACCCGTAACGATTATCTGAACAGGTCATGGGCCTCCCCTGGGTCGACTCTGCCTCAAATAAGTACCTAGTGCAATATGTAAATGCCGCCACCTAGGGAGACAAAGGCGGCTGGGCGATGGCTTGGCCACCCACCCCGTCGTGTGCCGTGCCGGCCTTCATAAGTGCTCGCTAACAGCACTTGCCCCAACAGTCTGTTAAGGATTTACGGGGGATTTTTGCCTTTTGTCTTTATATACATAACGTTTATACCATAAAATATATATACAGTACACATGTATGATGTACGTTCAAAGTAGCGGTGTTGTACATTAAATCACATTAAAACAAATCCGTGTAATGTTTAGAGCATTGAGCTAAGAACCCTGGCGGACCTGAGTTTGATTCCTCCCCCCTCCCTCGCGGCCAACATAGGAGACGATTATCTGAACCGGTCCTGGGTCCTCGGCTCGGTCGAATCCGACTTAAAACGAGAACCCGGCGCGGTGTGCTGACATCATCGGCACTGCAGAGACGAAGACGGTTGGGGGTGGTGCTGGCCTCCCTCCCTCCTCGTGTGCCGCTGTTGGCGGTCTTCATAGGTGCCCGCTAGCAGCACGTGCCCCAACAGTCCGTTGAGGCTATACGGGGGATCTTTGTTTCAGTATGTACACAGTGCCTATGCGTTTGCGTGTAATCGGTCAAGTGTAGGTGTATAAACAAGGACAATTATTTTTTATTTTATTTTTTCTACTACCTACGTGACTTTACCGAAAGAAGCAAAGCGTAATTTAGTAATGATAAGGAAGCCAGCGTTTAGAAGTTGTACTTTTGGTGTATACGCGTGTGATGTTATCACAAGACGTGTTGACGATGTGTTATTAAATATATCTGTAAATAATAAATGCGTATTGTTTTTACAACTCGAATGCTTCTAGTTCAGTTTGTAAGCACACGTGTGTGTGTGTGTGTTTGTGTTTGATTTCACGTCTCCAATTGGTCTCAAGTGGTGAGTTTAAGTTGCCTGAGATTGACCGGTTCAAAGAAAATCATCGCAAAGTTAGCAGCGCTTCGGGTTTAGCGTGCGATGATGGAGCGGTGGCGCATCGGTTAGCGCATTGCACTGCGAACCTTACGCAGCGCTGCAGTGGCTGCACGTGCTCATTCGTAGTCCCACGTGTGACGTCAGCACGGCGATGGTGCCAGGCTAGGTGCACCTTGAGGCCACGTGAAGTGTGGGAAGGCTCACCGCTGGCAGGTGCCATGGCTTGACTGAATCCACGTACACACACACGCGCATGCGTGTGTAAGTCCTGCTGTATGCCATCACACGCACATGTAAATACAAAGGCGAAGATTCCCCGTGTAGGCTGCAAAGGACTGTTGGGGCAAGTGCAGAGAGCGACCACCTATTTTTAAGCCGACACGGTACACTAGGGGTTGGTTGGCCAGCACCATACACGACCACCTTTGTCTCGCTAGTGGCGATGTTTACACACGGCACCAGGTGCTCATTTAAGGCTGAGTCGACCTTATGGGGGGGGGGCAGGACTTGTTCAGATATTTGTCACCGAAGTTGGTATCTGAATCGGTTGTAGTGTCCGCCCAGCCACTTCACCAATCCGCGCTGACCGGTGTGGTGAAGTATGGCTGGACAGCCACCCATGAGCATCGTGGGGAGGAGATCTTCATCCAGCAGTGGATTGGCAAAGTGCTGTAATTTACAAGTGCGGGACTACCACGTGTTGCAATCACACGGGTGACGATTCCACTTGTATGGTTTTGACCGCAATAGCAGACTCTGTATTTACAGTGGAGGAATCCGATGAGCTATGAAGCCCTTTCTCAGACACGTCCAATATAGAAAGCAGATCTCACCACCTGCCGCATCATTTCAAAAGTCAACTTCCGTCAAAAGAAAAAAAATGTGTTCACAAATTTTTTTCAGATTATTAGACGCACTCGTTCTCCCGTCCTGTATCTTAACTAGAAAACAAACGCGTGGGTGCGTCTTATAATCCGGCAGCTAGGTGTGCCGTGCGTGACCAGACTCGTGGAACTTAATTGACATCGGGCACAAGTTTCGTGGTGGCGTCTCATTTTCTTAAGCGGCTTCTCCAAAACAAGCATATGGCGTGTGTGCGTATATGTGTACGCAGTATATATATGGGTAGCGGTAGTGTGGTGGTTAGCGCGCTACACTACGAACCTGGCGACCCGAGTTCGATTCCCGCTCACGGCCAACGCCAGTAACGATTATTTGAACCGGTCCTGGGCCTCCCCTAGGTCTACTCAGCCTCAAATGAGTACCCGGTGCGGTGTGTAAACATCGCCACTGGGGAGACAAAGACGATCGGGCGTGGTGCTGGCCACCCACCCCCTCGTGTGCCGTGCCGGCCTTCATAAGTGCTCGCTCACAGCACTTGCCCCTACAGTCTGTTAAGGCTATAAGGGTGATCTTTGTGTGTTTATACACGTGGCGGTGTATAATTTGAATATATACATACAAATTATATGATTACGATCGTTCTGTTAAAACATATATCTGGAAATAAATGATTGAATGATGAACCCACGCGAATGTAAACACGTGTGGGGGGGCTAGCAGAGGGGGCAAGTCACTAACGTCCATTGCGTTGGACTGTACTTCTATGCACCCACCACCACTTGTAATAAATCCGAACTGACCAGCGGAGTTGTCAAGCGAAATGGTCAAAAGGGACTCTGCGCGCACACATGCAGGTAATAGTAGCAATGATTAGCGTCTAAATGACGTACCATCGCGAGTGTGCCGTGTAGGTATACCGAGCGCGTGAATGATTCACACGATATTGACACGGTATTGGCGAATGCCTTACTTTTTATGCGTTCGGCTTTTCCCCCCCAAAAGACACTGAGGTCTCTCTCCGATCACCCAAAAAAAAATGAGGGTCCGATTGTTTCATAATCTTTTTGAAACTCAAAATGTTAATTGAGTCGGTGGCGTGGCATTCAAGTGACGGTAGTGCAGGCGGTGCAACTGCGGGGACGGGCCAGGCACCAAGGCTACGATGGTTAGGGGTGCGTGTGGGGGAGGGGCTTTGTTCAATGGGGAGTGGTGGTTACGAACCCGGCGAACCTTGGGTTCGATTTCCGCTCGCGCTGATTATCTAAGCCGATCTCGTGCCTCCCCTAGGTCGACTCAGCCTCCAATGAGTACCGGGTTGTGTTGTGTAAACCGTTAACACTCGGGAGACAAAGGCGGCCGGGTATGGTGCTGGTCAGCCCCCCCCCTCCCCCTCCTCGTATACCGTGCCGGCTTTTCATAGGTGCTCGCTAGCAGCACTTGCCCCAAAAGTCCGTAAAGGCTATACGGGGTGCACTGCGTTCGTCTTTGTATATAAACCCCGAGCTAGCTCCATGCTGATGCCAGAATAAAAAAACGGCGGAGGAGGAGGGAGTGCGCGTGCGTTGATGTGGTCGGGGAGGAGGTGGGTGGGGGTGGAGGCGGGAGGGATGGCACGACGATGTTGTTGTGGTGGGGGGAGGGTAGAGTGGGGGAGATGGGGGGGGGGGCGCAGCCTGGCTCTGTGCCCATTGGCCCACCCTTTGATGTAGCTTCCACGCTGCACCCCTAATGAAGCGCTCTCCGTTTTGAACATTTTCTCTCTCTCGCAAACCGCGCGCTCTCTCTCTCGCGCGCGCGCGTGCGTTCGCACGTCCGCAGAAAACAATAACAATAACCGCTAAGTGGCGGTGATGTCAGCACGGCGCTGCGCGTGCCAGGCTAGGTGCACCTCGTTAGCCGCGTCGAGCGTCGAATGATACCTCGGACGCAATGCACCGGTTAGCGCATTGCACTGCGAACCCCATCGCTGCAATGACTACACGTGCTCATTCATAGTCCACGAGACCCGGTCCAGGTATTTGCGGGTTAACCGAGTGACCAGGGTGACGTGCAGACGTACCACTTTGCGCTCCTCATTTTAGTTGTAGCCGCCCGGCGCTCCGCTCGTTGTTGTGAGCGTCTCTCCTGCGCCGCCCGTTGTTGCTGTCGGCTGACTGCCCCCAACTGCTCAGTAGCGTCATTCACGAGTCTCCTCCGCAGAGGCCGATCTTCACACCGCTGGTATAACAGTCATCGGCAAGGCCACTTGGCTACAATTCATCCTTTCACCGCATTAGCCCAAACCTCTTCTCGAGGCCGTGCCGAGACCGTTTAGACCGCCTCTATGCGGGCAAATAAGAGCTGATTGGGCATGCGGTGTGGCTAAAGCATGCGGTGGCTTGGCATGCGGGCACCATGACCCAGCCAACGCACACGTACATGCATACATAACAAGCACACTTGCACACACGTACAAGCGTACATTATATATATGTACTCATACATACAAAGACACCCCCAACCCCTGTAGACTTCTGACTGCTGGAGCAAGTGCTTTTAGCGAGCAGCTATTTCGGCCGGCACGGCGTACGATCGAAATTAAGTTGCCAGAACCAGGTCAATAACGTCATAGAAAGATTCCCCCAACATATATAATTTAACAGACTGTTGGGACAAGTGCTATTAGCGAGCACCTATTAACGGACCATTCACACGCTCAAACACATACGCACATGTGTAAACCAGTTACATGCCAACACACACACGCGTACACACAGCATATCCAGAACCTCGTGGTAAAACGTGCACACACACATACATACAAAATGACCATCACGCGTTTTTTTTTTAATCCAGCAAGCCACGCGGAGTCGTAGGTCTCTTTTGCAGAAGGGTCCTGCTGCTGCATTGGGTTCTATTTGTGCGATGTTTGCAGACAATTGTATGTATGTTGAACTTCTTTCGCGCCGTACGTAGCCATCCGGGCTAACCGGAGGTGCGCGCGAAGGGCAGCAAACTAAACTACAAAAAGAAGTTCTAAACAGACTATTGATTAAAATCTAGATGATTTAAAAGCGCACGGCTCCGGTGTCTTCCTAGTATCGGAACGAAGAGCGTTTCACGTGGCCGCAAAAGCGCACCTGAAAGCGCGCCGTGCAGTGCCCGTCTTTGTTCGATGGCCAGCCAATGAATGATGAGTTGTGTCTATTATTCACGTGCGGAGGAAAGCGGAGCACCCGGGACACAAAAAAACATAAACCGGCTCGCGCGAGGTGGCAATACTCTATCCCCGTACAGATGGAAACTGACGGCGATCAGTTCACGTGCTGCACTGCTTTCTCCTGGCAAGGCAGGGTACGGGCACCTCATCGACGTCCACGGCGGGCATGGAGAGTTTTCACAACAACATCTGCGCGCGATGATCCACCGACAGACACCTCGCTGCGACCTCCACAGCGCCGTCGGTTCGCAAGGCAGCCACTTTGCAAGCGTCGTGGCCACCGCGTACCCGCGCGGCTAAACACACGGGATCACCGTGCCCCCCCTCCTTCCCTTCCCTCTCACTGTTCCACATTGCCAATTCCCGAGTTGGCGTTATAATCGCCGTGAGCGAGGAGACGACGCGACCCTCCCTCGTCCTCGTCCCACGAGGAGACGTCCCTCTCACGCAGCCCACGCGCGCGGGCGCACGCTGCAGGTCACGCTGTCAACCCATTGATTATTTAATCAGATTTATTTGCGTTTTTTTTGTGTTGTATCTCGGTATCGAATTATCGGGCCGCCGATCATTTGCACGAGTCGGCGCCGTTTAACGCGACAGGCAACCCCCCCCACACACACCCCTACCCCCCCCCCCCCCGAGCTCCCCCCACCCCTACGCCACCCACCCCTACGCCCCCCCACACCCCTACCACCCCCCACCCCTAACCCCCCCCCCACCCCTAGCCCCCCCCCCCACCGCCACGCCACCCACCCTACGCCCCCCCACCCCTACGCACCCCCACACCCATACGCCCCCCCACCCCTACGCCACCCACCCCTACGCCCCCCCCCACCCTAGCCCCCCCTCACCCCTTCGCCCCCCCACCCCTACGCCCCCCCTCACCCCTTCGCCCCCCCACCCTACGCCCCCCCTCACCCCTTCGCCCCCCCTCACCCCTACGCCCCCCACCCCTACGCCCCCCCTACCCTAGCCCCCCCTCACCCCTTCTCCCCCCCACCCCTACGCCCCCCCTCACCCCTTCGCCCCCCCTCACCCCTTCGCCCCCCCTCACCCCTACGCCCCCCACCCCTACGCCCCCCTACCCTAGCCCCCCCTCACCCCTTCGCCCCCCCCACCCCTACGCCCCCCCTCACCCCTTCGCCCCCCCACCCCTACGCCCCCCCTCACCCCTTCGCCCCGCCCTACCCTAGCCCTCCCTCACCCCTTCGCCCCCCCACCCCTACGCCACCCCTCACCCCTTCGCCCCCCCTACGCCCCCCCCCACCCCTAGCCCCCCTCCCCACCCATTGCCCCCCCCCCCAAGTCAGCAGCGTGCGGCTGTCCGCGTGTAAACGACGCATCGAGTGGGAATCGATACCAGACGTGGACGTGGAGGCGTGGTGGATGCCACGGTAGGGCCTAAACCTAAAAGAGCAAACGAAAGCAACTCAACGCATTGGTCAATCACTCTGTGGCCTGGGAAGGAAAGAAAACAAATATATGATAGGCGACGTTTCGGGCAATGGCCCTTTCTTCATAGCGCATTTCACGTGCTATGAAGAAGGCACATTGCCCGAAACGTTTCCTATTGTCTGCTTGTTGAGGCCACACATTGTTGACGAACGTGTTAAGTTTGTTGTTGTAAATTGTGCCTGTGCACACACCACTTCCAACGCAGCATCACCAAATAATGTAATCATTAATACGTGTAAACGGCTTTAATTTATTTACAAATCTGATTACGATATAATGTCGAATTAACGTGGTAATTATTAGAGTGTTCATGATGACCATCTATGACGGAGGCACAGTGTGGGGAGCGGTAGTGCAGGGGTTAGCGCGCTGCGTTATCAACCCGGCGACCCGGGTTCGATTCCCGCTGACGGCCAACACCAGTGACGATTATCTGAGCCGGTCCCGGGCCTCCCCTAGGTCGACGTAGCCTCAAAATGAGTACATGGTGCGGTGTGTAGACATCGCCACTGGGGGAAACAAAGGCGGTCGGGACGTGGTGCTGGCCCACCCACCCCCGCATGTCTCGTTCCGGCCTTCATAGGTGCTCACTAACAGCACTTGCCCCTACAGTCTGTTAAGGCTATACGGGGGATCTTTGTCTTTTGTATGCGTTTTGAACTTCTTTCGCACCGTACGTAGCCGACCGTGCTAATTGGACAGCCGTCAGCGCACGGCACTATCAATACGTCGACCTGCGCGTGTTCGATACCAGACCACGGATAACAACAGTCGTAGCTGGCGCGTGATTTTTGAGTCCTAACCCCTGCCCTCCCCGCTCCACCAGGTAAGGTGAAGTATGGTCAGAACTACCCACCGCGACTAGCGCGACGGGTACCGAGAGAGAGGAGAGTGGATTGAGAAAGGTCTGTCGATGATTAAGAAGCATTACGTATGATTCATAGAAGCGATGTGAACGACGATTTTAACGTGGAGTTGAGAATCAACGACGCGCGCTTTGGTAGCCGTGTGTGTTGGTGAATACCCGCATTGTTTAACCGCTCAAATAGTCGCATCGATGTTCAACAAGATACGGCGACAACGTAACGAAATTCGCCTCCTGTCAATCACAATGCGAGGTGCATTTCCATCGCGTTCAAATTGTGACCGCGATCGACAAATGCCGCGCAGACAGAGCCGGCATATGTATTTCACAGATGCAGTCATCATAGATCTTGATGCGAGTCTGTGGGTTTCATTGCTCCGTCTGTGAAACTCTACGAGAATCCATGCGTCTCTGCGTGAGTCTACGCGTCTCGATGCGAGTGTACGGATCAACGTGTGAGTCTATGCATGGTTCTAGGGTCTTGATGCGAGCCTATTGTGCGCTGCGTGAGTCTACGGGTCTCTTCGTGAGTACGGCTTCACCGTGTGAGTCTATGGGGGTCTCTATGTGAGTCTATGGATCGCGCAGTGTGCGATACTCAAAAAAAATAAACCACCCCATACAATGCAGTTTGAATACAGCGCCTGTCATAGCAATACTACAGAATGGCAAAACGCCGTGCAGATGAAACTGCGTGGCTGTGTCGAGCAAAAGCATTTGCCTCGACTGCAACATCGATGGTGGAAACAGCAACAACAACAACAAAAGGCGGTGATTATTGAAGAATTAAAATGACGTGGTCATTGTTCTTTTGTTATAGTGTGTGTGTGTTGGCACGTTTACATTGTTGCATTGTACTCCGTTGGCTTTCTATGAATTGTGAGTAATTAATTATCATTATTTATTCAACTATAACAAGGTGATGACCCGGTGAGATGTATGTGCTGTGTACAAGCCAATACCAATACCCCGGGCCATTCGCCACTAAGTGACTGTGACGTCACCACGACGCCTGTGCCAGGCCAGGTGCACATTGAGGCCACGTGAAGTGTCGAAGGCTTGCTGAGAGGAGGTCTCGGGACAGACCCAGGTGGTGCCATGGGTTGGCTGACCGGGAGATGCACACCAGCTATACCCCACCACTGTGCCAACTTGCGGCACTTTATCCGCCCGGCGCTCCGCTCGTTGTTGTGTTTACAAGCCGCACACACACACGCACACATATAGAGTACGTACATTAATTTGATTTATACAGACAGACAGACGGGCTGAAACACACACAGGGGCATAGACAAACAAGCATAGACATACACGAATACAAAGTCATAGCCTGTAACAGACTATTGGGGCAAGTTCTGTTAGCGAGCACGTATGAAGGCCGGGACGGTACACGAAGGGGTGGGTGGCCAGCACCACGCCCGGCCGCTTTTGTCTCCCCAGGTGCGATGCTTACACATCGCACCAGGTACTCATTTGAGGCTGAGTCGACTTAGGGGAGGCCCACGACTGGTTGAGATAATCGTCACTGGTGTTAGCCGTGAGCGGGAAACGAACTGGGGTCGCCAGGTTCGTAGCGGAGCGTGCCAACCGCTACACTACCTCTCCCCACAGACATACATATACAAAGACACACGCATACACAGACAAATACACTTAGGCTCACACAAAGATATACACACCGACACTTACACAAACAAGCACACACACACATTCGCACAGACACGACCCACACTAATAAGCAAACAGACAAAAAACACAAAGACAAAGACCCCTCCTATAGCCTTAACAGACTGTAGGGGCAAGTGCTGTTAGCGAGCACCGATAAAGGCCGGCAGGGCACATGAGGGGGGGGTGGGCCAGCACCACGCCCGGCTGCCTTTGTCTCCCCAGTTGCAATGTTTACACATCGCACCAGGTACTTATTT